CAATATAAATAAGAAATAAGAAGGATTATAAAGTAACACAATAAATTTTTATCATGCATTATTTTAAGGGTTAGAATCAAGAATTTCCCTAAAAAGTAGGTTTATAACATTAACATACTTTACTGGATGAACTTTCATTATTGTGCATATTGACTAAATTTTTATTTGATTGATAACGTTTGGAAAGTTAACTGGGAATTATTAGATTAGACCTTTATTAAATATTTCTATAATCTAAATTAAACTTGATATTGCAAGCAAAAACACTCTTTTGGAAATACAACACTTGTAAAGAGAAACAGTAAACATCCATGTTTGTTAGCTACATAGTTTTTCCGTAGGTTTTGGGCATGTTGAATACATAGAATATAAATGTATGTGTGTACACACACTGATAGACATTTATTTAATAACATGCATTTCTTTGACCATGTTCATCATCCTTTTCTGAATTTTCTCATTCCCTTCCCCATTTTTGGGCAAGTGGATGTTTTTACTTCTTTGCATGCTATAGAACGGGACATAATTATCTTAATACAGGCAAAATACATGAAAATATCTTAAGAGGATTACCCTCTCACCTATACATGTCACATGCCTTCCAATACAGCCAGATGTTTTCTTCCTTCAAATGTCACTTGAAGTCAGCTCTCTCTCTCAAGGGGCTTGTGTCTAGCTAATCATCCCCCTTCTCCCCACCCACTATCTGTTTCTGCCACCGCCATCCTGGCATCCTACTGACTTGAATTGGATGAAGAACCTCTCCCAATGCAGCTGCTGTTAAACAGTCAAATCAGTTATATCATTTCAGCAAACTCAACACCAAAGTGCTAACATTTTTCAAAATGCCATTTTCAAAGGATTCATCTGTTTGGTGAAAAACAACTGTGTGAACAGTGGCTAAAAGGGCTACACTTACTCCAGTTCTCAGATAAGGTGAATGATGCATTTTCATAATTTTGTTTGTAGCATAAACTTCAAGATTTTGAAAAACTCACATTATCTAGTTATGAGTTTATTTATTTGTCCTATAATGTAGTGGATACTTAAACTAATGAAGATATAGTACAATTTTAAATACTGAGTTTCCCTAAGGAGACAAAAGCACGCTGCTGATAGCCTCCAAGAGGATGTACGTAAGCAAGCACGTGTATCACAACAGTACACCTGTACATGGGATGGAATGATCAAGTTTTTCTTCTGCAGAGATGGCAACAATAACATCAAGGGCAGTGGACAAAGATTGCAATAGAAGGTTTAAGCAGTAGTGGCACGTGTAACACATGGATTGAACAAAATTAACTAGCTTTTAATTTATGTCAACAGTTATAATTAACACATATATTTTCAAGCATTTTTCACGTAGATTCTTCTGATATATTAAAAAGTAATAATTGAAATACTAAGTTTGCTGGAAACAGGAAAAACACTATTTTCCTGATTACAAGAAGACTGAGTCTGGTAAAAAAGAAACACAAATTTGCCATTACTGACTTTAAATACCAGCCTAAAGGTCTAGATTTGTCTATAATTAGATTCTGTAGTAAGTTCCCTTTCCTGAAACCTCTTTTACTTAAAAGGAATTAGGTCAGAGTTTTACAAAGGCAGCTCTAAGAGTATCTGTGACAGATTTATTCAAATTCCCCATTGTTCCATTAAAATGTGCCCTTTTGCCTTCCTACAGCTAGTGCTGAATAACAAAGAGAGGCCCTGGTTGCTGTCTGTTACTGGCATTAAGTCATATCTACTGAGATTCAAAATGAAGATAATATACACTTCATTCGTTCATTCACTCATTCATTTATTCCTCAGGACTTGTGCTAGGGACTGGGGTGGGAGTTGGGGTCAGAATTTATAAGGCACAAGGTCATGCTCCAGATTTTCAGACTTGTAGGGGAGATAAGACATACTCAAGTAACTACTAAGTGGTAAGTATCAGGAAAGAGAAAAAAAAATACTACGACAATTCAGAGAAGGTAACTGAACAAATCTAGTTCTTAACCTAGTGTATTTATAGGTTAAAAATGCATCTTTCAGGAGTTTCTAAGTGACATTCAAAAACTGACTTGCAATTGAAAACAACAGCAGAATTTATAAATTCGGTGCTTGTTAAGATGTCCATATCAAACTCAAGCTTTCAAGTCTGGCCTTGATTTAATTTAGAATTCTGCTTTCCTTTCTGTCCAACATAATTATTTTCAAGGACAGACTGGGAAAGCAGTCTTGACCAGGGTCAATTACACCAATTTTCTTTTAATTCAGAAGATATATAGTTTTCAAATATATACTATTTTTTCTAATTATAAAAGTAAAACACGCTCATTTATTACAAATCCAGACAAAAAAGAAGGTGAAAAATTAAATTCATTCCTAATGCCTCTATCCAGAGATAACAGTGTTAATTTTATCATGTTAAATAGAAAGTACATAAAATTTAATGAATGTACTATCTTATAATGAATATTCTACACTAATTCAAGGGAAAAAAAATCTGTTCATTATGTACTCACAACTACGTTCTTGTAAAGTCTAACAGATGCATACTTGACATGCAGTAGCACAAAAAAACTGAGTGTAATGCCATGAATAAGAAGAGTTGTAAACTAAAACTGTTCTACCAGAATGTTGTACAACTGCTAAATTATGAAATTATACCAGGATAAAATAAGAAAAAATTCTGGCCCAGAATACTTGCCAAAACTGCTCAAACTCCTAATGTAGGAATGTTAGTATATAAAAAGTGCACAGTATCCAAAAATTACTACTCTGGACAACTGGGCTTTATAGACAAAGCAATAAACATTAGAGAGAGGGATTCCCCGCAGGATGCTATAGGGCGGAAATTTCCCAACCTTTCTTCTCAGCGCCCTTAGTGTCTCAGTAATTTTTTCATGGTGCCCCAAGGCCAAAAGAAACAGCTAACGATTCTATTAACTATATCATTAAGTCTGAATAATTTAATAAAGATATATGTCCTAACAATTTAGTGGTCATTTAAAAATAATACCCATATATTGAAAGAAATATATTTTTATTTTGTTCTTAAATAACCACAATTACTTTCTAATGGGATGTGCGCATCGGATGGGCACCGCACGACTTGTCAAATCTTGGAATCAGGATGACACCACCTCCTCATTTCCTGTTCCACACCGATTTTTGTGTGGTATTTGCTTTTTATTACAATTGTAGAAAGCCAAACTTTGCAAAGATTGACGTCATCAAAAAGAATGTAGCAGGTTCTAACGATGAAACTGGGAACTCCCTTGAACCAGAGGTTCACGCAGTGTCTGACCGACAGGGAATATCCCCAGGTTTCCCCTGGAAATTTAAAATAACCCACGCTGCCCTTGTGAGCTTGCTGTGGCACGCGAGGGTGGCCGGCTTGGTGCCGTTTGGTAATCGTAACCTCATCCCATTGCCTTATTATCATTGTAAAAGTGGCTGGAACTCCCAAATAAATGGTTGTCTTTGAAAGGCTTGATGCCTTTGATGTGTAAACTGCTGGTCATTTTATTATAGAGCACACAAATCCAAACTGGGATATGTAATTACATGTAGACAAATTATATGTAGATGAAAGGAACTTCCTCTCATGGAGACCTATGAAACGACATGCCACTGGGTAATAGGCCCATAAAGAGCCACTTTCAGACTCTTGCTTATTCCCACCATACAAGTGCTTGTTATAACAAATAATCCTACAGTCTACCTTTATAACAAATAATCCTACAATTAAACACACAATCCCAAAGGGGGCTAAATATTACTTGCAAAAAGAATAAAAAATAAGCATCTTAATCTTTTGTTAAAGGAAAGGAAGAAGCAATGATAGAGCCCTCTTAGCTTATAAAATGATCTGTTGTAGTAATTTTAAAAAGATCCTGTGGTGGGCAGAATAACATCTCCACTCCCCTCAAAAGACACTCATGTCTTCATCCCTGGAACCAGTGAATATGTTACCTCACATGGCAACATGGATGAAGGCTGCACATGGAATTAAAGTTGCTAATCAGCTGACTTTAAAATTGGGAGATTATCCTGGATTATTTAGTGGTCCCAATGTAATCACAAGGATCCTTAAAAGTGGAAGCGGGAAGCAGAAGATGAGCGTTCAGAGCAAAATGTGACCTTGCAAGAAAGGCACAGACGATGTAATGTGAGAAGGACTTGACCCACTGTTGCTGGCTTTAAAGACAGAGGAAGGGGGCCACGAGGCAAGGAAGGGGGGCAGCCTCCAGAAGGTAGAGAAGGTGAGGAAACAGATTCTTCCCGAGAGTCTGCCCACATTCTGATTTCAGCCCAGTGAGACCTGAGCTGGACTTCTAACTTAGAGAAATGTAAGATGGTAAATTTGTGCTGCCACGAAGTTTTGAGCTACTAAATTTGTTGTAACTTGTTACAGCAGCCACAGAAAACTAATGTAGACCCCAAATGATACTAACAATAACGATAAAAACAACATCTACTATAAAGGTTTCAGGTGAATTGGGTAAGCTAAGTAAGCTGCCTATAATACACTTCCAATAGGTATTTCTAGTAAGTTTTATTTTGTATAGATGATGCAATAAGACTAAATATAAAATAAACCTATAGATTCCAGATCAAAGAATTTTACTGGGTGTACTTCAAACATAATAGCTTTTTGCCTTTGTTCTTCCTCCTTACTGCTTAACAATAATGTAATGGCCATAAAGAAGATAAAAATCTTTGTATTATGTTCTGATATGAATTTTAAAAGGATATAAGCTTCTCCATGCTATATAAGCTTAAGATAAAGTTTACACATCTATTCCATATGTAAAATATCAATGAAAATATTTTTAGTTACATCTTGAGCTCTTTTTAGATGGGATGATGGTTTGATGGCTGGACAAGGGAGACCTTTTTGTATATTTAACAATTACTTATGGAAAGCAAGAAAAAGTCCTACTGTCAGAGTATGTATACTTCTGTGAACTGAAAAAATTTCTTCAAAGTTCAAAATAGTCTGTATTTACCTGTGGTTAAAGGCAGGTGTGTGATGCTGTTCAAACAAGTCAGAGTGAACCATGTGGATGATATTGTAGCCCCAGAAAACAGGAGGAGAAGAATTAGTTTCAGCATACCCCTGATAAAATCTGCAAACCTGGAAAGAAACAATGTTCTATTAACTCTAGTTAGATTTAAAAAATACTATTTAAATCAATGACACACTTTCATTAAACAATAATTTCTTTCTTTCTTTCTTTTTTAAAGATTTTATTTTTCCTTTTTCTCCTCAAAGACCCCTGGTACACATCTGTATATTTTTTAGTTGTGAGTCCTTCTAGATGTGGCATGTGGGATGCTGCCTCAGCATGGCCTGACGAGTGGTGCCATGTCTGCGCCCAGGATCTGAACCAGTGAAACCCTGGGCCGCTGAAGCAGAGCACGTGAACTTAACCACTCAGCCATGGGGCCAGCCCCCTCAATACTATCTTTGGATTTGCACTTATTTGACATGATATGGTTAATCATGTTTGTAAGTGTTATCTAGACTAAAACGACTTCCTATGGGAGCTGGTGCCATCTTTTGGTGGGAAAAATGGATGCATCTCTGCCCAGTGACTTAGGTTTGCTTTCAACTATGAAAGTTCACAAGCAGAAAATTCTTATGTACTCTGAAAAAGGTTCCACTTGATACAAAGCTTGATAGAAATACCCCTCAAGGAAATCCAAAAACTTTGTTTTAATTCCATGCCCACCAAACAGTTTTCTGATCTATATTTTGGTGCTGCATGAACTTAGTTGTCAGACCAGCAGATGGTCAGGTATGAGAGAATCAAACAGTTTTCTGGTACAATCAGAACTGAGTGAAGAGTGACGAAGTGTCACAGGGCCAGATCACACAGGAATAAACTGACCACTGCAGTCTGCTGTTTTTGGAGACCCAGTCCTTGCAAATGAGCTAACACCATCAAAGTATACTGTTAGGACCAAAGTAGGACATTTAGCAACACAACTACAAAAAAATCACCCCAAGCACTCATGTCTATAGGGAGATTCCATTCCAGAGATCCCAAAAATGGTGTTATGAATATAATTTTAAAATTTACTTTAGGTCTAGTAGATACCTACAATTTATTTCAGATCCCAAGGTGAGGGCAGTAATTTTTACAACTCTCATTTCAAAAAACTAAAAACAGAAGTGTCCTCATTCTAATCGTTCCCTTTACTTTTATTTCTATATAGTTAAAATTAGGGTTTGTAGAAAGAAAATAAACACAAAGAAGCATGTGAGATGTCATTTCTGATATATGATGGTTCCCTCTTTGACTTATTTGGTGCTCAGAATAGGATTTGGTAAAGGATGACTCATTATAATTGGTTTGGAGATTTAACTGAAAAATTAGATATGATTCCTGTCAAACGTGACAGGTCAATGTATTTCAGTTATCAGTGTAGTGATTTCCTATGCAGAGCTACCTTCCTGTTCCTCCTCTTTAGTTTTTAGATTTTATTCTTATACTTTCCTAACTTGTAAAAACATCAGATAAACTGATGTAGAAATTACCGTGTCAATGTATTCTTTCATCATCCCAAAAACACTATACACACTGTAAGGTCTAGGATAATATTATCCTGTGTCAATTATGGTTAAGTATTTAGATATTGAGGTGATTTACATATCTTATTTTATCTCCCCACATACGTAATTAGAACCTCCTCTTCCTGGTAAAGTTGATTACCTAATTTTGTTTTTGATTAAACAGGGTAAAATGATTTGGGGAGTAAATGAGTATGATCTCTATGGAAACACCATGAGTAGCTTTATAGGCAGTCACCTAGACGAGTGACATTTTCATTTTTTATTTTTTTTTCCCCTAGAAAAAATGGGACTTTTTCCTCCTTCTGACTCATTCTAAAAGCGTGTTGTCATAATAGGTTAAGATCAAAGAGAGTTCGATGAAACTGGAAGTCTTTAAAGACATTTTTCATCAAAATGGGATAATCGGAGGGACATACCTGGCAAAAAGGACCAGAAATAAATATCTGCTAATCAGGACACTGCCTTTTCATGGAAAGTTCTAGAGATGTCCTTACAAATAATTCATTTTAATTTTCAATATCTATCAATTTGCCTTTATTATTGTATCACCTTTCTTTGGGTTCTACTTGTAGAGGTTGTCCTCTAATAATATGGAAAGAGGCAGCTTAATTACACTGGAAATACATTTCTAGTCTCCAAAAACATTTTGGGATGGACTACTGCTGAAAAGGTTTCTCATAGGAGAAAAAACTGTCTACTGCATGTGAATTTTATTGTAGCCCAAACAGGTGCCCTTTTCTAACCTTTGCCTGTTTTATTTTTCCCTGAATTCTACTGTTTATCTAGGGGAACCGATTTTCCCTTTGGGCTTTGGTTTGGTTCCGTCCACTCACATGTTTAACATAAAATATTCTCACCTTGCCATAGCTATACCAACAACACAGCCTCCAACTATGGACCAAAATCCAATCCAGCCAGCATCTACCTGTTGAGAAAGTGGCAGACACATTTAATTCAATAGTATCATGTTGAAATTTAGAAGGCATGAAAAAAAAATCCTCTACAATCAATATATAATTCAACATGTAATATATATAATTCTATATGTATAATTCAATATATAACCAATAGCTAAATGGCAACAAATCTAGCAAACACTATTTAAGAAAATGAGTAAAAGGATTTATGTGTCACTAATTAATACAAACTTATCTAGGTAAATACATCCTTGATTAATTTTTTATTGGAATATTTAAAACAACAAAATAATGTCACAAACAAATATTTTCAAGTATGTAGTATATGCTTAGCATTGTACTAGAAACTCTTAAGAAAACAGGAAAAGGACAAAAGACGGTCATTGACCTCAAGAAGTTTAAATATAACCAACATAAAGGAAGCTATTAGAAAATAATTAAGTGCTGAAACATCTGGCAACAACTAAAAATGTATTAAGAGATCACAGAAGAGAGAGAAATGTGGGGTTGAGACTGCATAGAGAAAGAGAACTTGGGCTGGGTTTCAAATGTATAGCTCACTCCACTCTTGAGAAACCATTTCCAGCACTGCCATTTACTAGCTTTGTCACCCTGGGAAAACTAGGTCTTCTTACCTATAAAATGGACTACATGAAATAATGTGTATACAGGGCCAAGATCAGTGGTCAGCATACAGCAAGTGCTCAATAAATGTTAGCTTTTAGTATTACCTGATGATGCTTCCCCATCTACCTACTGTCTTATGTCTTTCCTACCTTCATGGCCAAACTTATTCAGAGCAATCTACAATGCTGCCTAGGTTTCCCCATCACTCAAATATTCTTAACTCTCATTATGACTTGGCTCCTGTCCCAACTCACACTCTAAGTGAGACTCTCAGTTTCCTCATTTGTAGAATGAGGGTAAGAAAAGTTTTTTTGAGAATTAAATAAGTTAACAAATGTAAAATGCTGAATAACGTTATTTGTGGTTACCACTGAAATTCCACGTATCCTAACAAAACCAGTACATTCTGTCTCCTCTTTCCCCTTCCCATGGCCACCACACTTGCTTATTACCTTATTTCTTACCCCTGAACTCCTGTAGTAGTTTCTTAAACGGTCTCCACAATCTATTCTGCCCACTACTGCCAGGATAATTATGACAATCATTCCACTTTCCTGCGCAGGAATAGTTACTGGCTTTCCTTGTACCTATCGGGCCAAGTTCAAACTAGACCTGGCACTTGAGCTGCCCAAACTAACTTATTATTTTTCTACTCATAAATTATATGTCCCAGCTCCTATTCAGTTACATGTGACCATGTGACTAAGAAGTCCTACAAACCTTCAGTAGAAAAAAAAAAATCACTACTTAGGCATATCATAGTAAAACCGCTGAAACCAAAGACAAAGAGAAAACCTCAAAGGCAGCAGGCTTTTAAATTTGAGAGCTAACTTCTCAGTTGAAACAATGGAAGCCAGAAGAAAATGGAACATTGTCAAAGAACCAAAAGAAAATAACTGCCAACCAAGAATTTTATGTCTGACAAAAATAATCTTGAAAAATAAAGGTGAAATGAAGACATTTTCAGACCAAAATAAAAAACAAACCCCAAATAAGAGAATTTCTTGTAAGTAGATCTGCATAACAGACAAACACACATCTACACCAAAGGAGTTTTTTACACAGAAGAAAAACGGTCACAGATGAAAGTCTGAAGATGAAGGAAGGAATGAAGAGCAACAAAATAGGTAAACATGAGGGTGAATCTAAATGCATATTGGCTGTGTAAACAATAATAACAATTTATTCACAGTGTAAAATATATGACAATAATAGGACAAAAGATGGAGAGGGTTAAACGGAGTTGAAGGGTTCTAAGGAACCTGGACTGTCCTGCGAGAGGTGAAGGTTCTAATTTATAATAGATGCTGATAAGTCAAGAGTGCATTCTGTACTTTCTAGGGAAACCATTAAATAGTAAAAAAGACTAGAACTACCAAGCTATTAGAAGTGGGGAAACAGAATAATAAAAAGTACTTAATCCAGAAGAAGGTAAGAAAAAAGGTAAAAGGATAGACTAGACTGAACAAAATGAAAACCAATAGTAAGATGGCAGATCTAGACCCAAATTTATCAATAATTACATTAAATGTAAATGAACTAAGTATTCCAATTAAAATTCAAGGATTATCAGACTGGATTAAAGAAAAAAATTATATGCTGCCTACAAGAGATGTACCTTAATAAAGTTTCAAAGTAAAAAAAAGTAAAAAGATATACCATGCAAGCACTAACCAAGAGAAGGCTGGTACAACTAAGCTTTAAGACAAAAAGCATCATTAGAAATAAATAATACTTCAAATGGATGAAAAGGTTCAATTTACTGGTCAGATACTACATTCCTAGATTTACGTGTACCTAATTACATAGTCTTAAAATACATAAAGCAATATTGACATAAATAAAAGGGGGAAACAGACAAACTCATAATAATTGTGCAAGATTTTAACACACTTCTCTCAGTAACTGATAGAACAAGCAGATGAAAATGAGCAAAGATATAGCAGATGTGAACACACACAATTAACAGAATTGATTTAATCGACATATATAAAACATTACACCCAAGAATTACAGAATATAGTTGACCATATATCAGGTCCTGAAATTTGAAAATACTGAAATCACAGAGTATGTCCTATGACCACATTTATGCATTTAGGGATTATGCAATTCCTAATAATTAGTTAGGAATTAAAAAAAAAAGAACTAGAGAATCTTCAATAGTGTGCAGATTAAGAAACGTCCTTCCAAATAACACATGGTTCAAAGAGGAAATCACTATGGAAACTAGAAAATATTCTAAATTGAATAATAATGAAAATCCTACTTAACAAAACCTATGGAATGCAGCCAAAGCTGTGTTTGAAAGGAAATATATAGCCATAAAATGCATATATTAGAAAAGAAAAGCTAAAAATCAAGGACCTAAGCATTCATATCAAAAGTTAGAAAGAGGAGAGCAAAGCAACTTCCCTCAAAAAAACAGGAGAATAGAAAAATAGAAAGACAAAATCAGAAATCAATGAAATAAAAATAAGTTCATTTAAAAAGCCACTGGTGAATTATTCAAGGAAAAAAATAAGAGAGAATATATACCCAATCAATATCTGGAACGATACAACAACTTATCTTGGAGACTTAATAAAATCATAAGATGATACTGTGAAGAACTTCTTACCAATAAATTTGAACAAGATCAAATGAACAAATTCTAGAATGGTACAATTTATCAAAATTGACACAAGAATAAATACAAAATCTGAATAATTTTATACCTAGTAAAGAAATTGAATCCATATTAAAAATCTTTTCACAAAGGAAACTAGATGCCTTCATTAATGAATTCTACCAAATATTTAGTGAAAAAACAAAAGCTCCAAACCACCAAACTTACAGACAAATTCTTCTGATAATAGAAAAGAAGGAAACCTTTGCTAAGCTGTATTTTGAGATTAACAAAACCTGGATACTAAAATTGAAAGGATACGACAAGAAAGAAAAATTACAGTCCAATCTCATTCATGAACATAACTGCAAAAAAATCCTAAAAAATATGAGCAAACTGAATCCAGTGATATATAAAAAGTATAATAAATCACTGACAAATTGCATTTAGTATAGGAATGCGAGGTGGCTTAACATTTAATAATCAATAAATGTAATTTGCCACATTAGTAGTTTAAAAAAGAAAAATTATACAATTATCTCAATGATGAATTTTATTATATGTGTTTTCCTCCATCTATTTGTCATTAGTCACATTTGATCTGAGTGTATATGTAGAGAGGCCAAAGTATCTACGGATAAACTAATACAATAAATGAATTTAACAAGTTGCTGGATACAAGATCAGCCGTATTTCAATTACTCGCAAAAATCAACTATACTTCTATATGCCAGCCAAGAGAAAATAAAATTTTAAAAGTTTTATTTTATTTTTAAAATTTTATTTTATATATAATATAAATATGAGCATATTTATATTATTTTTTTATATTTTATATTATTTTATAACCAATTACAATAGCTTCAAAAAGTATCAAATACCTGGGAATAAATCTAACAAATATATAGAAAGCATCTTCGCAGATAATTATAAAGCATTATTCAGAGACATTAAGACCTAAGTAAATAAAGAGAAATACAATGACTGTGGTTTGGAAGACCTAATATTAGAAAGAAGTTAATTCTCAAACTGATACAGATTCAAAAAAATTCAAATGAAAATCCCAGTAAAGGGGAATATTTATTCTATCAATACCAAAACTTACTATGACACTAGAGTAGTTAAGACTATTTGGTATTGGGACAAAGACACACAAAGGGACTAGAGGAAAAAAAGTAGTTTAGAAACACATCCATCCACGTAAGGGCACTTCATTACGACAAAGACAACATTAGAGAACAACAGGGAAAGCACGACCTTTTCAAAATTTGATACCAGTTTAATGGATATCTATATGGGAAAAAAGAAACTTAACCCCTACCTTATAACAAGCACAAAGTTCAATTATAGGTTTAAATGTGACAGAAATAATGACAAAGCTTCTAGAATAGCACTGTCCAACAGAACTTTCTGTGATGATGGAAACGTTCTATTTCGGCACTGTTCAATATGGTAGCCGTAAGTCACAAGTGGCTAGTGTCATTGAAAAAGTGACTTTTTAATTTTAATTTTCTTTCAACTAATTCCGATTTCAAACTAAATAGCTACATGCGGCTAGTGGCTACTGTACTGGACAACCAAGTTCTACAAGATAACACAGGGCAATATTGTACGAACTTGGAGCAAGCAAAGATTTCTCTTTCTCTCCTTTGCATTACAGTCTCTGCTAAATCCAACATCTGACTATCTCTGAGTTGGTTTCTATTGACTACTTTTTTTTTTAATATGGGTCACACATTCCTGTTTCTCTGTACGTCTAATTTTTTCTTTTTAATTGTTTATGTCGTGGATGATACAATATAGAGATCCTGGATTCTTTTATCTCTCTCTAAAATGGTTGATTTCTGTGTTAGCAGGCAGTTCAATTCCTCACTGATCACCCTGAACTTGAGTATGCTTGATTTTATGCTTTATTAGGGCAGATAAGCTGAAACCAACGTGTTTCCCCAGGCCCTCTCATTTGACAGGACGCAATCTCTAAATTGTCTCCTCTGCAGATTTTGGTCAGGGCTTGGTTCATGGTCCGTCTTACTCTATCCAGGGCAGGGTCCTTGATTCTAAAGTTTGGCCTTTTTGGTGTCTCAGAGTGTTAATGAGGTCTTACCACTTTGGCTGAGCTAGAACTCCAAGAACCCTCTGCTCACCCTCTACTCTATTTGTTCTGCTTTCAACCCCATAGTAGTCTCTCTGTGCAGCCTGTGGTAGCTCTGCCCTTTACATGTGAAGTCCATTTCTCAGCCAAGACTTGCTGGAGACCCCACACAGTCCTCTGGGGAGTCCCCTTCTGCACAGCTCTCTTCTTTATAAATCAGTAAGAAAAAGGCAGCCCAAGAGTAGATAAGAGACTTGAACAGGTACGTCACAAAAAAGGATATTCAAATACCCAACAAATACTTAAAAAAAATATCACTACGGTGGCATACAACTGCCCAGCCATCAGCATGTCTAAATTTGAAAAGACTAATATTGCCAAGTGCTGGTAATGATGTGGAGCAACGTACTGCTGGTGGGACTGTAAACTGATAGAACGACATCGAGAAAGTCTGGCATCATCCATCAAACAAGTCATCCACTATCACCAGCAATTCCATTCCTAGCTACACATCTAACAGAAAGGTGTACAGAGGTGCATCAGGAAACATGTGAGAAAATTCGCGCAGCACTGTTTGTGACAGTCAAAAACTATAAACCCAAATATTCATCAAAAGCAGAGTGGACAGGGGGCTGGCCCTGTGGCCAAGTGGTTAAGTTCGTGTGCTCCGCTTTGGCAGCCCAGGGTTTCGCAGGTTCGTATCCTGGGCGCGGACATGGCACCACTTGTCAGGCCATGTTGAGGCGGTGTCCCACATGCCACAACTAGAAGGACCCACAACTAAAATATACTGGGAGGATTTGGGGAGAAAAAGAAAAAAAAAAGATTGGCAACAGTTGTTAGCTCAGGTGCCAATCTTTAAAAAAAGAAAAAAAAAAAGCAGAGTGGACAAATTGTTGTTCATTCATACAACGGAATATCATCCCAGTGGGCTGGATTTCTCCCAATTACCTTCCAAATCTCTCTACCCCTTTCTACCAAGCTACTTGGAAGCAAGGAGAAGGAATGGATGGCATCAAGCACACAGGTGAAATGGTTATTTTTAAAGAAATGAGATACATTTATCCTGAGACTGGAGAAAAAGTGAGAAATTAGATGCATATACTTGACAGGAGCTTAATCTTCTTTATGAAGTATGAAGCAAGGATAAAGGATGGAGTCAACAAAACTAAGATTTTCCTCCTTTATTTTTTGGTTTATTAGCATCATTAATAACACCCAAAGAAATGTGAAATTCATCCAGGAAGAAAAATCAATATTGTTTATAACCATTTCATAAGCATCTTGCTTTTGCAACAATGGTCTAGGATAACATTTTACCCAGGCCTTGAAACTAAATGTAGACAACATTAATAATTTAAATGAACTAAAAATACTCACAACATATTAGGAAATAAAATGCTTACTTGGCTGACATGCACTGGTGTTAAAATTAAGTCCAGAACTCCAGACCAGCCAGCAAATACACCAAGTGGTATGGCATATGCTAAAGCAATCATCAAAAATCTCAAATTGCTGTAAAAGAGAAGTAAAAGAAAATATTACTACAGATTCAAAATCTAGAATTTAAACTCTTACTCATGAAAAATGTAAGTCATTTGGAAATCAGAACACCAGAATCAGAAATAGAAAATATTTGTCAGTTTGTTAATAAGTTCAAAGTTCTTTAAATTTTTTACCTTTATACAAGGAATATTTTTTGTTCATATTGTGTAAAATTGTCAACATTTATTATATAGACGAATTACCAACATTATTTCATAGAATGAGTAGGTAGATTCAGTTAAAAAAAGCTCTTATTTGAAAAGACAAATTACTGTTTCTCCTTATGAACAAGGTAGAGGGAAAAAAACAAAGATCAAAAAGAAATATATAATTTGCTAGTTTTATTATTTTCAAAGAATAGTTTTAATTTTTGTTTTATTATTATTAAAGTTTGTAATAATAAAAAATGTTAATGGGCAATACAATTCAAATGGCTCAAAACCAAAAAGGTATAAAAATATGGGAAAATGTCTCCCTGTTACCCCTATACCCTTCTTCCCACAATTACCAATGTTATCACACTCTTGGGTAACGTCCCAGAAATATTTCAAAAAATATAAGCCAATACAAATATATATATATTCTTTCCCCAATCTTTTTACATAAATGTTAGCGTATTACAACCATTTGCTGAACTTTACTTTTTTTAACTTAATAAGTCTTAGAGCTCTTCCACAGTCAGTACATATAGAGCTTCCTCATTCTTTTTTATAACTGCACAGTATTCCATTATGTTAGTATATCAATTTATTTAACCAGCCCCTACTGAGATATATATATATATGTAGAATTTTATCCCTTTGCTCTCACAGTTATTTCACATGTGTACTAGCAAACTTGGAGAATCGATTTCTTGAAGTGTAACTGCCATGTCAAAGTGTATGTGTATCTGTAACTGCAAGAGATAATGCCAACTCCCCTCTATAGAAATTGTACATCCACATACCTATCAAAATGGCTAAAATAAAAACATAGTGATAACACCAAAGTCTAGTGAGGATGCACAGAAACTGGATGACAGGTATATCGTTCACGGTAACAAAAAAGGTACAGCTACTCTGGAAGACAGTGTGGCAGTTTAAAAAAAAAGCTAAATATACAACTACATAGAATCTAGCAACTGTACTCCTGGGCACTGATCACAGAGAACTGAAACATGTTCACACAGAACCTGTATACAAATGTTTATCGCAGCTGTATTTGTAATCGCCAAAAAAACCCCTAGAAACAATGCAGATGTCCTTCAACAGCTGAATGGTTAAACAAATTGTGTACACCCATACCATGGAATATTACTCAGCAATCTAAAAGAGTAACTACTGACACACAAAACAACCTGGATGACTCTCCAGAGAATTATGTTCAGTGAAAAAAGCCAATCCTCAAATTTTATGTACTCTATGATTCCATTTATATAAGATTCTTGAAGAGGCAACATTACAGTAATGGAGAACAGATGAGTGGAGTGGGAGGGAAGTGGGTGTGGCTATAAAAAGGCATCAGGAGAGATCCTTGCGATGCTGGAAATGTTCTGTATCTTGACTGCATCAATGTCAATTTTCTGGTTGTGCTATATAGTTTTGTAAGATGTTACCATTTGGGGAAAATCGGTAAAGAGTCCATGTTATCTCTCTGTATTATTTCTTACAACTGCATGTGAATCTACACTTATCTCAAAATAAAAAGTTTAATTTAAAAAATATCATAAAAATTGGGGCTGGCCGCGTGGCTGAGTGGTTAAGTTCGCGTGCTCTGCTGCAGGCGGACCAGTGTTTCGTTGGTTCAAATCCTGGGCACGGACATGGCACTGCTCATCAAACCATGCTGAGGCAGCATCCCACATGCCATAACTAGAAGGACCCACAACGAAGAATATACAACTATGTACCGGGGGGCTTTGGGGAGAAAAAGGAAAAAAGTAAAATCTTAAAAAAAAAAAAAAAGGAATAAAAATCACATACCATTCACACCAGCTATTTAAAAATTTTAAACTGTAAAGTATCTGGGAATAAACCAGGAAGGCCCAAGATCTTTATGGGGTCAGAGGGGGTAGCAACCTTTAATCTAATTAAGGGCATAGAATATGATCTAAAGAGATGGAGAGACAGTCCATGCTGTCAATTCACCCCAAATTAATCTACAAATTCAATGCAATCACAATTAAAATTCCAGTCAAATTTTTTAGAAACTCAAGAAATATGCTCTAAAGTTCACACAGAAGAACAGAAGTCCTTGGAAAGCTAATTCATCTTTTAAAAAAAAATGAAAAAGGAGGCCCTGGTCCTATCAGATATTAAGACAAACTGTACGGCCAGAGTAATAAAAATAGTTTGGGACTGTCTCAAGAACAAAGAGAACAATGGAGGAGAATAGAGAACTAAGACATGGAAACAATACACAGTAACGGTGGCACTACGAGTCAAAGGCTAAGGCTTGTTTCCTACGTGGCGCTGGATCATTAGTTATCACCACATACTAAGGTGGATTCCAGGTGACTGAAAACCTAAACGTGGAAAACAAACCAGAACGTTCATAATTAAGGAATCCATGGACAAAATAGGTAGGCAGATGACAGACTGGGAATAAATATCTGAAATTTTTTAATATACAAGGAACTTATATCTAGAATATGTAAATCATGAAGAAAAAGATAGCAACCACCATTAAGAAACGGGGAGAAGCTACGAGGAGGAATTTACAGTAGATGAAACCTATGAGGCAAACAATCACATAATTAGAGACAAACTTCTTAATAACCAGAAAATGCAGATTAAGCAAAAGATATATTAGTTTATACCTATTAGACTGGAAAAATTAGAAAGAAGGATAATGCCAAGTTTGGTGGGCATACAGGAAAATGGGCACTGCTGATGCAAGTACAGATAAGTGCAGGCATTTTTGAGAGCAATCTGGCAACAGTTGGCAAATTAAGCCTAAAATATCTTATGACCCAGCAATCCTACTGTGGGGTATGTTTTCCAAAGAAATTCTCAGGTCTACAGTAATGTGTATGAGGATGTCACTGTAGTAGTATTTGTGGTGGCAATGAATTGGAGGCAATTTGGGTACGCAGTGGGAGTGGGTAGATAAAATGTGATGGTTTTATACTACGGAGCACACAGAAGTAGGTGTACACATAGCAACAGGGATGCAGCTTGAAAACAGTGCTAATATCACAAAATGAGAGCTATCCAGATAGCATGTGCCTCCTTATGGAATAAGGTAGCATCACTGATGAAGTAGTCTTCTAAAGCCAAAACAAAAACCTAAATCAGATCATAGCTCTGGCTAAGAATTTACAGGAAATACAAGGACAGAGGAACATGGTAAATGACGCCACAAGGAGGCAATCAACAAAATCCAGACAACGGGGACAAAAGAGCAGAGTCGTCAACAAATAAATTAGGAGAAAAAAAGAGAGAGATGGAGAGGAAACCTATAGATTATAAGGCATTTGAATCAATTGCAATGTAGGGACCTAATGTGGATCCTTATTTGAACAAATTGTTAAAAAAACATTTATGAGACAACTGGAAATTTAAATATCGATTTGATATTAGCCAACTATTGTTAAAGAGATTTTAAGGGTAATAATGGTACTATATTTGTTTTAAAAAGTCCCTATCTTTTTAACACATATTATACAGATTGAAATATTTATTGATAAACTTATTTGTCATCTGAGAATTTGCTTAATGATTCCAGAAGGGGAGACGTGAGTGGAACAGACATGAAATAATACTGGCTATAAATTGATAATTGCTGATATTGGGTTATGGGGATATGGAGGTTATACTATTCTACCTTTGTACATTACTGTAACTTTCCAAAATGAAAAGTTATATAAAAAAAAAAAAACCCACATAGTGTTTAGTGAAAAAAGTCAAACATAATGAGATACATAATAGGCGATCATTTAAATAAAACATAGATGCTACAAAGCAATACACATATTGCAAAAGCACAGAGACAAAGAGATACACATTAAAACGCATTTGAGAGGCGGTCTGGGTAGGGGGAGGGGAATGGAAGTGGGAAATATAAATAAAAGAATCAATGAAAAAATAAAAGAATAAATATGTCCATGTGTCCTGAAGTAAGGAACGCGTTCAACTCAACTCTCTACTCTTGAAGTCTAAAAGGCAAAACCCACCAGCACTATCATCTAACATTAAACCAATATTTAAAGGCAGAGAGAGGTTTACATTAGGTCACACAGGTTAAATGCATATTAGGAGATGGGACTCATATGGATATAACTGTAGTGGGAATTCTGGAGCATAACCATTGAGGGGGATTTTTGCCCATCAAAAAAAAAAACAGGCAATTTTTTTTTGCTGAGCTTATAACTTTGGCCAGCTATCAAACAGTTTGGATTCCTGCACAAAAAAGAAAACCACTTTTAGATGGAGACATGGTAAAAGAAATTGTTATTTCATCTATGGAAATTTTGTTAAAAATTATGAAGAAAAGACTAAAAAAAAAGTGAGAGAGCTTTAATTAAGGCCCAAACAATTGCCTGGAGAACATAAGACCTTACAAACAACATCAAAGATGTGTTGATTCAAAGTTTCAAAATTGAAAAGTTGATCCAAAATTGAAAAATCGCAAGTACTTATTTTTAACTTTAGATAAGTAGTGTAATATGGGAGACGCTGCTCAATGAAAACTTTTTCAGCTGTAAACTTAATGAAATCTAAATGCACATCAAGTATTTACTTCTAATGAAAGCTCAGCATCTGAATTGAGATGTGTAACCGTAAAATACACACTGGATTTCCAAAGATTTTATAGAAACAAAAGAACGTAAAATATCTCAATAATTTTGCATATTGATTACATGTTAAAAGTAATACTTTAGATATAGTGGGTTAAATGAAATATGTTACTAAAATTAGTTTTATCTGTTTGTATTTCCTTTTTTCAATGAGGCTACTAGAAAATTCAAAATTACTTATGTGGCTCACATTATATTCCTGTTGGACAATATTACTACAGAGGATACAAACACACAGTTCTTGACCACAAGGAACTCACCATCCGTGGGAGCGCAAGACTAGAAGAGACAAAATCAACTGGAGACAGTCACCAATGAATCAATAAAAACTCATCACAACTAACTGGGAAAAAAAATTCAAAAGAAGTTCTAGCGGCCCAACTACAAATCATAATCAACAGCAATGGTCTATATAACCACGGAATCACATTCAGTGCTGGGGCATTGCAGCCTTCAAGGGTACAATTTAATCTAATTCCACTTAAGTTATACCAATGAAATATAATAAAATATTAAGTTTCTCAAAGTATCATCCCACTGGAGGCACATGATTTTAGGTGATATGTAAATAAACATTATTTATTTTATTTGCTTTGTATTGACTAGCATTTATTTTAATGTGTATTAAAAATACATAAGGAACAAAAAGCATATGCATATTAGGAAAAAATAATAAACACCTACAACCCATGATTTCACAGACACTATTACGTGATATGTGTCCTTATAAAAGACTTGATTTTTAAAATACTAAGTAAATAATAGTATAGGTGGCAGGTAGAGAAGGCAAAAATTATAGAGGTTTTTGTTTTGCGTGATTTTTTAAGATAGATTTCCGATAGGAAGTCCCTCTGAAATATTTAACCGGTATTTTATCAATTATTTACAACCTGATGAATCGGTTGCTGAAATATTACTATCTTCAATAAATGTGGAATTATCTTGAAGGTGCTCGTTAAAACGACTCTGATTCTAGGTACTGACCTCAGTAATCTACAGAAGCTCCGCCGGTAACTCAGCCGCTGGCTGGCCGCAGCAACACTGGGAGGAAGGGGCGGCCGGGGCGGGAAATAGGCTAGAGTTGCAGAAAATAGTAAGCAGACAACTCCAAATTCTGGGGGGAAAAAAAAAAGAAAGTAAAATGTTCACCAGGCAACACAAAAAGTTTCAATATTTCAAGCATTTATCTAACAAATATTTATTGAGCATTAGCTGAGCTCTAGGCATATAAAGATAAGTAGAATACAGTACCAAGCCGAGACAGCTCAGCCTTGTGAGAAAGACGGATGTGTAAAGATAGAAATTTCAAGGGGTCGTAGGTAAGAAGTCACGCTAGAAGCAAAGAAGTATGGTGGTACTGTGGTATACTCCACAGACAAAAAGGTTGAGGCAGTAAACAAATGTAAACAGATGGAGAAAATGAATTAAAAACCCACAGTACTGTACTGTAAGAGGGATTCTGAAACAGGTCTAGGAGGACTGTCTGGTAAGCATGGTCCTCAGAAGTATTCAGACTATGACTGGGAAACTTGTTCACTGCTAGTGTATAGAAATACAAGTGACTTTTATATATTAATCTTGCATCCTAAATTTGTTTTTTTAGGATGAACTTGTTCACTTTGGCTGAACTTGTTTTTCAGATCTAATAATTTTTTTAGTGGATTTCAGAGGATTTTCTATATTCAAGATCATGCCATTTTCAATCGAGATGATTTTACTTCTTCCTTTCCAATCTGGATGCCTTTCATTTCTTTTTCTTGCTCAGTGGTCCTGATTAGAACCTCCAGCATAATGTTAAATAGACATGGCAAAAGTGGACATCCTTGTCTTGTTCCTGATCTTAGGGGGAATGCATTGTCTTTGACCATTAAATATGATCTTATCTGTGGGTTTTTCATAGAAGCCCTTTATTGGGTTGAGTGTTTTTATCTTGGAAAGGTGTTGGATTGGTTAAATGCTTTTTTTTATCTATTAAGATGATGACATAGCTTTTCTCCTTTATTCTACTGAAATGGCTACTACATTAATTGAATTTTGACTGTTAAACCAATCTTGCATTCCAGGAATAAGTCCCATTTGGTCATGGTGCATAACCCTTTTTATATGTTGCCAGATTTGGTTTGCTAGTATTTTGTTCAGGATTTGTGGGTCTATATTCATAAGAAATATTGATCTACAGTTTATTTTTCTTATGCTATCTTTGTCTGGAATAAGTTAGTTTAAGAGTCTTTAATCTTTTAAGGTAGCAATTCTAGCAAAATATTTTTAATGGAATAAAGGGTCAAGGGACAATACTTTAGGAAGGCAGATTGGCAAATATGCAAGCACTGAAGCAATAACTGGGAAGCTTTGAGTGGGGCTTCTGCTTGACTGCATGGGAATCATGAGCCAGAAGGATGCAGAGCATGAATACATGCCCAGTAGTGCCTAAAATCCAGTCATCTAAAAGACACAAACATTGCTTACGTTTTCAATAAAAAGAATGACATGACCAAAATAAAGTTTAAAATTTGTTTCACCTGCTTTCAGTTTTATTTACTTATTTTTACATTTTAATTTTTTTCTTTAAAAGGAGTGAGTTGTCTACAGTGGGTTAAATGCTTTATATACTGTCACCACCTCTGCTTTCACTTTTATTTCCTCCAAATTATATTTTGAAATGTAAATCTCGCAATAGTGTAGAATCCTTCAGAGTGCGGCCTTTGCCTACAGCATGGTGAACTTCACACCCCTTGGTCCTGTTTGGATGGCTTGCATGGCCTGGCTGACCTCTCTAGCTTCATCTAGCACTGCTCCCACCAGATCTAAGCCACTCTGCACTTTCAGTTGCTTAAATGCACCAGGCTCTCTCCCCTGACTGGCCTTCTCCTCCACGGCTCTCTTTCTAGTATATATTTCCTCCTGCTCACTGTATTTGGCTAACTCTCTCTCATCCCTCAGGTTCCAACTTAGATGCTGCATGGCCAGGAAGCTCAAGTTGACCTTCAAGTTCTGGGTTAGGTGTCCCTCCTGTGAGCTCTCAGAGCAACTGTGGGCCTTTGGTTATAGCACTTTTCCCTCCCTTCTACAATTGTCTGCCTGTCTGTATTCTTCAGGATGCTAAGTTCTGTAAGGGCAGGAACCATGTCTACTTCAGTGCCTAGCACAGTGACAGATATATAGGAGCTCAAAATATATTTGCTAAATTAATAAGTGAATAAACGAATTAATGCAAAATTCATCATAATCTGGTCCCTTATCTTTCCAGCCTCATTTTCTGCCACTTGCTACCTATACCCAAATGCACACATTTACACTACTGTAGCCACAGCAGATTACGTAAAGTTCTCTGGACAGACTGAGCTCTCTCATACCTTCTTTGCCTTTGCAGTTGTTGTTCCTTCTGTACAGAATACCCTAACTCACTTGAACACTCAGTGAACTCCTATGAAAGTCTTGATTTTGTTTAATTATCACATTCTTGGTGACGCCTTCCCCGACTCCTCAACTTCTCTCCAAACCCAGGCCAGTCAGGCCTCTCAAGCTCTGTACATCTCTATTTGTATTATAATTGTCTTATCAGTCATCTTACTAATTCCCAGTGGTTTGCCCAGTGCTTGGTATACAGTAAACACTTATAAGAAGTTTCTGAATGCAGAAAGAAATACAGTCATACATCACTTAACAACAGGGAAATGTTCTGAGAAATGGGTCGTTAGACAATTTTGTCGTTGGGCGAACATCAGAGGGCGTACCTACACAAACTTAGATGGTATAGCCTACTACACACCTAGGCTGTATGGTACTAATCTTACAGGGCCAGTGTCATAGATGTGGTCCACTGTTGACTGAGACATCATTATGTGGCACATGATTGTAATGAACAGGCATATGGGCAGAAGGGATATATTTAAGGACATCTGTAGGGGACTGTAATATAAAAGTTGACTAGGACTCGACCCTAGAAATAAAGAGAAAGGGTGCAAGAGAGTGTTTTGGTGAGGTGAATATCCTTGATTAATATACTAAACATACAGACAGTAGGAAATGAAGAGAAGAATAAACTGTGGGTGACCCAAGTTTATAAGGTTAGAGAACATGGCCAATGATGGGGAAAGTGCAAGGGAGAAAACGGGCTTAACACCTACTAACAGATGATTAACAAATGTTTACTGTTGATCATGATGTTTAGTCTTATACACTGATAAGATTTCTAGAAAAGACACTACACAATGTGCTACACAGTGCTTAACTGTAAGTGGATGGGAAAAGTAAAATTAAGAAATAACCTTCTGTGTAGCAATAATACATTTTAAACTTAATAACTCCCTAGAAAGGGTACATTTAATTTATTTACTTACTTACTTATCCATTTATTTATTTATTGGCAATTGTAACGCTATTTCTTATTACCTAGGAAGATGAGGAACACTATTACTGAAGCTGGTAAGAGTCCAGGCTATCTCACAAGACTGATTTTGCTAAAACATAGAAAACCATTACACAAGTTTAGGAAAGATTTCACTACGAAAAGACTTTGGAGCTGGCCCCTGGAAAATGTGCAAATTTTGCAGGTGAAGAGGGACAGCGTCTTAGAAAAGGGTAACTTTCAAATAGGCATCTCCATATTATATGACAAGGAAAGCTCACATATGCATATGCCTGTGTTAGTCTGCTTAAGTATTTCCTAAGAAGTGATCTGGTACACAAAATTAGAGGGAAGATGACTGGGATAAAAGATAAAGTGTAACAGGAAGAAAATAAATTTCAAAATACCTGCATATAATACGGTCTCTATGCGATCTTTAATGTGGGCCCTGCTATTCTCTGAAGCAAAAAGAGGCGATGTCCCATTGGGAGCTGGAACAACAAGTGGTCCAACTAAAAATGCACAGGCTCCACCAAGATAACTGAGCATTGACGCGATCGCTGTGGCAGTAGCCCGTTCATCTGCAGAAAACCACGTTGTGGACAGGAAAGGAGCTGCATTCATTACAGTTGGACCTGCCAATCCATTTAACAGCTGTCCTCCATGGATTAGTCTAGAATTAAAAAAATTAAAAGGCTGTCAGGCACGTGAAGCGAGGATTTCTGAACAAAAAGAAGTTAGCCAAACAGCAGTTTAGTTCTAGCAATAAGTATACACAGCCGAAGGAATATGACAAATCTGAAAGGTAAAGTGTGTTGACTCTCTGTGAGGAAGAGCAAACACAGTAATGGTTTCCCTTGTTCATCTCACAAATATTCACTGAAGCCTCTGACTTGTGCCACATACCAAACTAAACAGTTCCAATCACCTTGTTTCATTTGTTATAACACCATGTGGGAGCTATTATTATCCCTATTTACTGAGATGTGACAGCCTTGGTTTAGAACAATTAAGAAACGTGCCCAAGTGCTAACAGGCAAAGTGGAGATTTAGACCCAGGTCTGACTCCAAAATCCATATTCTACTAGATTGCCACTTATAAACAGAGCACGTAAGTGCCACCAGTCATACAAATAACACAGCTGAACTCAATACTGCACGCCTACTCTGCTCCAGGTGATGGAAATACAAAAAAGACAAGAGCCATCACAGTATCTTCTAATAGAAAAGGAACTGGTTGAGGAGTCGGAAGACCTGAGTTCCAGCTGAGCTCTGAAACTAACTAGTTGAATGGTCCTGGGCAACATGTAAATTTGTGGAATTCCATTTCTTCTCCCATAAAATGAGGAGACTAGTCTAACTCAATATGCATTCACAGAGCATCTGTTGGGTTAAGGTACTATAATCATAGGATCACTGGGTCCCTTCTTGTTCTAATACTTTGTGACTTTTAATTGTTAAGGGTTAGTGAAGACTAGTTTCTTGCTTCCCTTCCATTTGTTTTCCTGCTGATCTTTCCTCGATATTCTATTTAGTGCTCTATCTTGTTCCTTCTTGACCATACCCTTTTCCCGCATTGCTTCCTCTAACCCCAAAATACACATTCACATTCAAGAGTAGGCTTGAAGGAGAAAAGAAGCTGCAAGTCCAAAAAGCATAGACAAAAAAGGGAGGCAAGGTACCTCTTCTGCCTTGGAGGTAGAGGAGAGGGCAGGCACAGAACATGTGACATACACATGATACTAATTACTCCTTTTTTCCTGCTTATTTTGCTTTTTAATCACCATGTAGGTGTCAAATTCTCTTTTTTTAACAATCGCCACCTTGAACTACTTAGAAAAAGTTTTTTGAACGCAGAAGGAAATAATAAACAGGCATATGGGAGAGAGGCAGGGCCCTAATATAGAAGCATGAGTGAGTGGGAAGTGAATATGTGAATCAGGCCTGCTCAATTCTTTGAAAATGCTGGAAAAATTATTTGAAGGCAAAATCGCTCCAAGCATCATTAATATTACTAAATTAAGAAAACTAAAGACATTTTAAAATCTTTTTTTTATAAGGGGAACTACTTTCTAGAGGACAAAAACTATTTAAACTGTTTATGAAACCAAATACTTCCCCTAAAAGCCAGTAGATCCCAAGCTGTCAGACAGCAATTTCACCATAAAATTTTTCTTTAAAAATGTCATTAAGTGGTTTTAATCAGGACTCGTGATGGCACAATAATCTGTGTGTGGTGGCTCATAAAGGTCACTGCTTTGATATTAACACTTAGTGTTCCAGAAAGACTCGTCTCATCTAGAAGGAGAAGGGTTGGGATGAGAACATTTTATTATGCCTAAAAATACTAAGAGTGGAAGGAGAATATGGAAGAAACAATCTATGAAAAAACGAAACAAAAAACTTGACAAAACAATATGAATCTTAAGAGTTATGATACAAAACAACTTATTGCTTAACTCGTCATGAGCTCTCAGTAGAATCACGAAGGGACTATTTTCTAAGCAGCAACGTAAGTGTCATAGGACGTGTCAGCTTGTGACAATGTAAGGATCATCCAAGTCCAGTTTACTCAGTTCTCAGATCAGAATACTTCTCACTCCAACAGGGTACCCGTGCTCAACGAGTACCCAAAGAAGGTAGAGCACTACGGACCTTCAGATGGGCTCTAAGTCTATGAGGTCACTGAACTTGGGGGGCCAACCTTGAATATGTGAATTTAATGAAAAGTCATCTCAGGAAGTAAAACATACTGATTTGACTTTTAAAAGTTACTCTACTTTAAATAATTATGTGCTTTTTGCATTAAAAGTCGTCATACACAAACACACTCCTCACAAATAAGTTCAGTATGAGAACTGGGACCTACAGGATCTTAGGGTTACCCTCTGAATTCACAAGAAACCTGGCAGGGAAACCCAGTTCCATTCGTCCTGACATCTTTAAGAATTCCAGAATTTAGCCCTGCTCCTTGTCCCATCTGTATCCTAGAGTCCCTCAGAGCTTGGCATCACTAACGTAACTGGTTATATAAACTGTTGACCTGGTAATCCTGACATAACACTGACCTGTAACATCAAGATTTTCATGTTAGCCTGACACTATTTTCTGTCACCTACCATCAACCTATCCTATTTTGTGAAATTAACTTTTTAATAAAAATACATTTAAAAGTAAAATTTACTTGTATATATAAAAACCAGTTTTCCCATTTAAAGGTAATACAAAATAAGAGGTACGTTTTTCTGGAAAAATGCTGGCCATAAGATATAATAAAATCATACAAACATAATAAATTCTTTAAAATGACAATAAAGGAGATGAAATACTTATAAGTTGTTCAATACAAGCTGTGTTATTTAACTCATTCAACAAACACACACTGAGTATGCATTGTATATTGGGTAGGCATTGTGACAGGCCTAAGTATATGAGAATATAAAATTAAAAGCTAAAGCCCTTGCCCTTAAGAATCCCTAAGAGTAGCTGAAGCATCAGCTACCAGCACTGTACCAGGAACATAAAGAAAAACAAGGCAATAATTAGTCCTGCCCCTAATGCTTGTGGGGCCTGTGACAAGAGTACCAATAGAGGTCCCTGCACGTCCTCCTCTTCTCATCTCTGGCTCTAGTCTGCAAGATCATCGCATGTGTATGCATGTGGACCTGAAGGTCCAATTCCATCCAAGCTCCATCTACCCCCTTACAAACAGCTGCCCCTCAGCTACTCCTTGGGCCTAGGGAGTACACACCAGGGATGCATGAGGTCCACTCTTGGAAGAACAGACCAGGGAAACCGGCCCACACAGGGATTTCTGGGGTCTTGTGTAGCTAGAAGATGATGGGCAGGGTGGGCACATTTCCTTGGCTCTAGAGATCCCTCAGCCCATAGGTAATGGCAAAGCTGAAGGAAAGCCAGAGAGGAACACTCTCGGGCATGGGGTCCAGGACACAGACCCTTGGGCAGTATTGACAACAGTGGGGATACAGAAGGGGATGGTTTGGAGAACTGTTCCTAGCCATACAAGAGAGATGGCTGAGTGAAAGATTGGATACTGGGGGAGGGGACACCCACAACTCTGTAAAAATGTACAATAAGAGGTTGAATATAGTCAGAAGGTAAGGAAAGAGGTCTGAGTGAAAAGATATATGTTGGGGTTGGGAAACAAACACTGGAGAACACTAACTTTTTTTATACAGTCAGAGGAAGAGAAATTTAGAGTGACATTTGAGAAGGAGCAATTACAGAGGCAGGAAAAAATAAAAGAGGGACGACTGGTGTCATAGCAACTAAGGAAAGAACGGTTTTGAGAAGACGAGAGGGAGCTGTTGACAGAGTCAAATCAAACAGAAAGATGGTTTGGTAATGAAAATGTAATCACTGGATGTGGCAACAAGGAGGTCGTTCGTGATCTGAGTAGAAGCAGTTTCAATAGAACATCGAGGGCGGAAGTCAAACTCGTGAGGAAATGGAAATTTGGATTTAGGCTATTCATTCTAGTAGTTAGAAACAGATGCCAGAACAAAAATTAGGTATATAAGCTTGGCAACATGAAAAAACACCCAGCTTAAATGAATAGTCTGAACTGCAAAGTCTCTGCCTTCACATATCGAAAGACAAACGCAACTCGTAACTGTCCTATCGCTTTCTAAGCCCTCGTGAAAGAAGCTGGCTTTCGGAAATTAATACCTATTGATCTGGGCTGTCTGTTAAAAATAACATGCAAAAACAAAAGAGGAGTGATTCACAATCTTCAGTAAAGTGAAGGAAATCACATAATTTAATGTTAATGTTTCTGTGTCATCATTGCACGCTTCAGTTTAGTTTGGCAAGTAACAAGTTAAGTTCCTTGCAGACAGGACCATGGCTTCTAAATTCCGCTCAGCCAGCGCCTCACAAAGCACGAAGGCAGTGCGCACGCTCCCTGGGACGCATGGACTGATTCAAGGATGGGGAAGCGGGGTCACCGAAACACACAACTGAGCCTAGTTTTAAAAACCTCGCAAAGTCCCTTCACGTACATCCTATCAGTTCCATTTATAAATTTTAAAAAATTTACTCAGCAATACAAAAAACAAGGTGATTAACAAATATTTCGGGAATAAGGCTTTTTAAAAGACATTGAGGGTGGTAAAAGGCAGGCCCTCACTTTACTACTGTCTCGGGCAGGGGGCACGTGGGAAGGGTCGGCAGGAGTCAGGAGGGTAAGGAGGTCATTTGGGCTCCTGGGCAGTAAGCTCTGCAGCAGAAAGGGAGCTCTCTGGCAGCCGACTGGAGAATTCAAGGGGTCTAACTCCTGCTTTCTCCCCTGAAGCTGCACACCTGACGCAGGTCAGCACATAGTCACGGTCAGGGGACTGCAGGTCTGGCCTCTGCAGGTCAGCCTGGCACAGCTCTGCAAGGGGGCAGGTGGGTTGCTCTCCTTCATCCCAGCCTCCCCACACTGATTCCTTAATTTACGCCCTCTTCTCGTCCTCCTTCCAATTCCCTTTCCTTCTCTTCTTCCTTGGGTCTTTTTTCCTTTTCCCTTTTTTTCTCCTTGCCTAACATCTGCCCACTTCTGAGGCCCAGTTTGTCCCACCCCCATAGGCCAGGTGGAAAAGTGGATGAAAGAGAGGAGGATTTTCCTAGCAGGCTGAGAGAAAGATTAGACTAAAGATCTCGGAGTCTCTC